GCTTAAAGGCGAAGCTTAAGTGTCCCCCAATTATATTCTTCAACACGAGGACCAGTTTGCCCTACTTACCTTTCTCTACTTAACGTGCGAAGCTTAAGTGCCCCCAATTATATTCTATAACGCGAGGACCAGTTTGCCCTGCTTACCTTTCTCTAATTACCGTGATTGCCTCCAACTTTTCAATAGAAATATGCCCTCTTGCTGCAGTCACAGAAAAGCTGATTAATTAATCTTTGTTGATTGGGCCACAAAAAGTCATAATAATTTTTTCAGCCTGTGTTGCGCTGGAGGAATAAGTTATCTGCAAAAGTAGTTTTGATGTTCTTCCCAGTGCTGAATCTTAAGAAAACTCTAAAAAATTAACTTCCAACACCTGGTAGTTCTGAACACGCCGTTTTATAGAGTGACGTTTTCTAGCTCGGAGTTTGTGAACAGCAAAGTAAAAGCTTAGGAATATTAATGGTAAACGAGATCATCTCACAAATGCTAGGAACAAGTGAGTGATTGAATGAAAGCTCTACTAAGAGTTTTGCGCAGAAGAAAGTTATTTATCTAAAAACCGGAGCAAACATAATTGTCTTTAAACAGTTTTAGTTAGAAAACTAAGCTCTTTTGCTATTTTATTTTACATCCATAGGAAGTGCAACTGGTTTGTTAGGTTACGTTGTCGTTTTCTTCAACTCTGCCCGTCGTATCCACGTCAAGATTTTACATCCTAAATCGACAGAAAAAGTGCTGAAAATTTTGCGAGTTGATGGCACGACAGGCATGAACAGACCTCTGAGACCATCTTATTGCTTTCGTCTTTACGAAAGAGAACCAACAACTTCATTCTGCATTGCTTGTTCGCTGAGCATTCTTTTTAATACAGTTGCCTCGTAAATCCCCACAGTAGTATCAGAGGCCAAGGCGCAATCTCGTCCGTCATTACTCAATGCGCAGGTATCCATGCACCTAGCTTGCAGTAAATCCATGCTCGGAAAATCCGTGATTCAGTGCCATATATTACTACGGAACGAGAGTTACAGCAAGGCTCAACTTATAGACTCCCATCTGGTGCCACCTTCCACGACCATTGGGTCTCCCAAAGGTTCCTGTTTGCTGACCTAAAAGCGGCCTCGTCAAGGACGAAGCAGTCAAGTAACCGAACTTCGACGCCTTTGTGGTGCCGGCTGCGCTGCCCGACAGGGCGCCGTGATGCCAGCCGTCGGCGCCAGTCACGCGCCACGTCAGCCTTCCCGCCAGTCGCTGTCGTCGGTGTGTGTTTCTACGGGGCGTCAGCGCTTTTTCTTCCTCTTGCGATCGTGCCCGGGCATTCCGTACTTGTTTGACCGAGCGTAGTGCTCAGCGAGACTGACGGTGCTTCACCACCCTGATGCTGACAAATGAAATTTGCCCGCTCCACTGGACCTCGCCACGCATGCCGACAGCGCGCGTGCCGTTTGCCGCGATCGAAGCGGATCGGCTTCAGTAAGGATTAGTCGGCGACGATTATTGCTGCCTGCTTGGGTGCGCTTGGAACTTCCCAACGACAGTTTGCAGGCGTGTAACTGGGACCGGATGCGAGGGAAAACTGCTAGTGTCAGTAGGCTTTCTGTCAGCTCACTTAGAAGTCAGCAACAATGTTTAAATATTGCAGTGGAAATCAATGGCAGTGGGATTATGATTTGGCAGAAGAGGACAATGAGTTAGGTTAAACTTTTGTTCTGGTGCTGTCCTGTGTGGTGTGTCTCTTCTTGCTGATTGGCTCTACCATCTAAGGACTTGGTAACCTAGAACACCTTTTTACAGTTCTTTCGTAATCTCACTTTACGCAATGAAAGCCTACAGAATACTTTGAACAAATCTCCTTGAAATTTTCTATGTAATGACGAATGTGCTAAGACGCTCATTATCGATTATTTTCTTTTGTGCCTACATGTGTGTGTGTGTGTGTTTGTGTGTGTTTGTGTGTGCAATTAAACTTTTTTTAACCATTGGATATTGTTGACGCCTAACACCGTCTACTCGTCGGCAGTTTTAATGCATTAGGTTTTTTAGTCATGGTACATAATTTATTCTATACAAATGACATCAAGTCGATCACTGCCATGCGCCACTTTGTTTACGATTCACAACAACGCAAAAAGTGCGCTTGCCCATGTCTCTTTACGAAATGCTTGATCAAATCTTATGAATAGAGTTGATGCAATATCCGTCGAAGCTGATATAGGGAGCTTAGAATCGGAAGACGTGTTGAGGGAATGCAATTTTTCCGTGCTTTTCATGATCACGAACCGCAATGTCTGTCTAACGTCGACAGCAAACTGCCAGCTTGCACTGTTCTTCGCACAGTGGTCCGTTAAGGCCGACGTCGCCTGGTTGCCGAAACGTGACCTAAGCTTTGCTTTTTCAGCCGAGGTTCATCCATTGCGAGCAGGAGCCATGATGTGTACCGAACCGCCATGACAGTCTGTGCAGTGCTATCGACGGGATCAAAGAGGGCGCGCTACTCGTCTAACTTAACTGAACCTAATGCGGTCAAACTGATGCTCCGTGCAGTGCTACGATGTTTATTGAACTTTTCCGTTGTGCTATCGGCGCTTCGAAATCAGCCGCACAATACATGTGCACATTGCATAACAGGTAATTTGATACTACGCAATTGCCAGTAGGTTCACATGCGACTTCTTGCGCCATAGATGGCCAATGAAGAACAGGCATTTCGTAGCAGCTTACAATCACACATTATATAAACTACCTTGCTAATGAAAATGGAGAAGACATATGTTTGATGCGGTTTTAAATGCGAAGCATTTTAAGTGAGATTCGGTGACTTTGAGCGTATCTATCTATCTATCTATCTATCTATCTATCTATCTATCTATCTATCTATCTATCTATCTATCTATCTATCTATCTATCTATCTATCTATCTATCTATCTATCTATCTATCTATCTATCTATCTATCTATCTATCTATCTATCTATCTATCTATCTATCTATCTATCTATCTATCTATCTATCTATCTATCTATCTATCTATCTATCTATCTATCTATCTATCTATCTATCTATCTATCTATCTATCTATCTATCTATCTATCTATCTATCTATCTATCTAGCCGCTTGCGTTTTGGTGCCCTCGTGGCCTCCCCCTTTAACTTGGCGAAAATCGCCCCGCCGCGGTGGTCTAGTGGCTAAGGTACTCGGCTGCTGACCCGCAGGTCGCGGGTTCAAATCCCGGCTGCAGCGGCTGCATTTCTGATAGAGGCGGAAATGTCGTAGACCCGTGTGCTCAGATTTGCGTGCACGATAAAGAACCCCAGGTGGTCAAAATTGCCGGAGTCCTCCACTACGGCGTCTCTCATAATCATATGGTGGTTTTGGGACGTTCAACCCCACAAATCAATCAACTTGGCGAAAATCAAAATTAGCATGGGAGTGTAAGATGGCTTGACAAACATGAAGCGCTAGTCAAGACATGAATAATGTCGCAATCCCGTCGCGTACGTTGTTAAACACTTCTCGTCTGACAGTGGCACACAACCACGCGTGGGTATGCGCCGCTGGTATGCAGGTATGTGCCACAGATTATTGACACTTAGTATCTGCCCAGGAATGACGAGAACACACATGGGCAATTTTAACGCGTCAGCCTTAAGCAACACCCGGCATCGGTAGCGTCGACTCAACAAAGGCATAAAATCAATGTCAGTGTTAAAAAAAAAAAAACCTGACATGGGCAGCGTTGACCCCCTGACGAATGCAAATACTAAATTTCAGGGTTTCAGCAGGATTCTAACCCAAGAAATCTGCGTGCCAGTAAAGCATTCTGCCACAGAGCTACACCAGATCTAGGAACTACTTTTTAAATAGACGCCAATCTTCGTGAAACATCAATAGTGGTTGCAGTGCTGCGTATACTCAATTTTGTAAGCATTACATTTGTACTCCTTTGATACAGCCGTCACGTCGGGTTAACGTCAATTGTGGTTAGTTGTCATGCGCTGAAGTTTATTTTTGTAGCAGTGTCCAGGACCAGTATCCTCTCGAGCATCAGCGCTTCATATCAACTTCTACTGTTGCTAATACGCTTGTTCCAGTTGACATCGTTGCGCAAGTGCAAACAACTGGTTACATAAACATCTGCAACTTATCAACATAAGTGTGTGCGTGAAACATTTTATATTTAGCCTCGTTTCATGGTGTGTCGCTAAAAAAAAAAGAATTCTTACACGATCACCTTCCCTTCGCATGCTTCGCATAACGTCGATTCCCAGGTACGTGGGTTCTGCCGATATTTTTTCTTCAGGGTCATTATAACATATGAAGAAGTGGCTTGGCTTCACTCATAGACGCGGCGATTTCATCACGCGATCTATACTGTTCTTTGTGCTATCTGTAGAATATTTAAATGGCCCTGTATCCTCTGGCGACCTACGCTCGACTGAGTTGCTTGCTTCCAAATGCTAATACATTCCCGCAATGCATTGTCATAGTTTGCTATAAAATGTTATTGAATTGTGTGTTCGTGCCAAGTTTTGTCAAATATAGAGAAGAACTGGTGTGAACAGTGGTAAAGTAAACGAATTGAGCGCTCAGTGCCCGGCTTTCACACACAAAAAAAGGGTATGTTTTTCTTTGTAATTTACTACAGCTGCGACGGACACTTCGGCACCAGAAACGACTCCTAAAGCATCAGAGTTTATGCTGTAAAAGGAAGAGAGGTGAGATGCCAGCCATTGTAGCGCATTTATTTTTTATCCTCGTCGTTTTAGGGCTGATTGTTAGAACTGAAGTCCCAAGTGCGCCTCTCTATCCCGTATTTTCTGCGGTTTCTTTCCTTTTTTTCTGATGAAGTGCCTCAGAAGTTACTTTTTTGGTGCGTTCTGAGGGAGCTTTAAAGTGACCAATTTTAAGGACATCAAGCTACTACGAAAAAGCATGTCGATACCAATAATGTTTAGAAAAAATGAACTTCTAGAGCTTCTTGTGGGCGTTCTTGTGACGCACAGGTGTGCACTCGGGACCCGTTGCAGCCGGCGTGGTGGGCCTCAAAACTCTGCGCTACTGCCTGTTTGGAGACACCGTCAACACAGCAGCGCGGATGCAGACACACGGGGAGGTGAGCCCGAGAACGGTTCCTGGCAGACCGGTCTCGTAACTGAAAGCTGGTTATTATAATATTAATTCTAAATGAAAATCAGAAGGCAACTAGGTTTTCACTGGGGCTGCTCTTCGCAATGGTTAATTATTGATTCAGTACGAGCACGCTATGCAGTGAGTGTAATTCAAGACTACACATGAATGAGCACGGCTGCGCCGCTTTCTTTCTGCGTTGGCGTTATCTTGAGCAGCTTTAGTCAAGCAAGACGAATACAAATCACCTTGCAATTTCTCAGGTTGATACATGGAGCATGGAATCAGCGAAATTTATTCCACGTTGCCACGAGTGGAAGGGCGGGAGAGGTGACTAACAGAAAGGATGAGCCGAGGGAGAGTAAACGTCTATTACTAACATTGCATTTGAGAGAGGAGCATGGAAGGAGCCTGTGTTCTAGCTTGTTTTGAAATGAGAAATACAGTTTTAGGGATGACCAAGCATGTTGACCTAAGTGAGTGCTCTTCTAAATACCAGAAAGCGGGGTCCGTGCTGATAGCGTGCTTTTGTGCACTAGCCGATGCTTGTCCTCATGGTATTTACTCCTCAGCAAACTAGTGCAGAAGAGGCAATAAATTACAGAAATTAAAGTCTCGTTAAGCGGGCCGCATGGTTAAAATAATATAAGCGTTTGAAAAAGAGCAAATAATGCGTTTTTGAGCATATATATATAAGCACAGACGCACGAACGCTTTTTGTTTGGGTTATGTTGACTTTCTGATTGGACATCACGACGTGCGAGTTTAGTTTGCGTCTATGACACCGTCATTTAAAGGGAGAGTTGTTTGCCCACTATAATCAGGAGAGCGTTTTACAACGCTTCTATGTCGAGGCGAGCTTCTGTGTCGCGAATATATGTGTATAGCTGTTATTTACAGCCTGCTTTTTCTTTGTTAAAAGACAGCTTTAAACAGGAATGAGGCTGTCACACCATTCCACTGCAATAAAATACATGCGTCACTGTTGTTTTAGTCACTGCTCGATGCGTCACACTTCCGATGCTGAAGGTCAAGGGCATCTCATCGCCATTCGTACGTCTCAGTCAGAGCAAACATGGAGTCTAGTCGCCCTTCTGAGTGGTCTCGCTTCAGACACTAAGCCACGCAGTACATTACCGTTTTGTGAATTGCGATAGAGCGTAAAGTTCGTATTTACGTGGCAAACACTCAGAGAGACTCCGTAAGTGCACCCTTTTGTGAAGCAACGAGTTCGAACTTCCCATCTTACGTAACCATGGATGTAAATCAGCTTCGGCCGAGCTGTCTTCAAGGCATCCTTGCCCTATGATAATGGGGTACATTTATACGAGACGCGGCGTCAGTAGCTGTACAAACAGGTAAACTCTTTACTGGCTTGGCTGCATTATTCCAGTTTGTTAGGATTCTATAGCATCCTAAAGGACATTTCATACGAAATGCTCTTAGCGTTGCTCTACTTGGCTGTGCCTCTATCAGGCATGACGATTACAACGCATGGGGCGGGTGTATGCTGGAACCAGCCATTTGGGTAGCTCGTATACGCCTGGCAAGTGGATAGACTGAGCCTGTCGCTATGAAGCGGGCCTTTGTCGTCTACAGCAGTCACCTGTTGCGCTAATCAATTATTCAGTTCGCAGGCAGTCACGCCCAAATGTCCCGCCGTCAGGTCGCTTTTATATACAGCGAGTCGGGATGATGTTCCTGTTTCCGTTGTCGTGCGCAGCGTCTCGGCCGTAACTGCAGATTCGTTCGTTGTTCCAGACGAGCTTACTTCTCGACTAAATATAGTCTGAACACGTGTCTGGATCACCGTGCTTCCGTGCAACGGTACAGTGGACACGATTTTCCTCTAGTCTTGTTTCTCCGCATATATTAACTTCCTTGCTTTAGAAGCAAACACGTCAAAAAAAAAAAAACAAGAAGGACGAGCGACGTGGTCCTTATATTTAAACTGAGTAAGTTCAAATTAGATGCCTTCGAAAGGGATGTTGACAGCCCGACAACGAGCCTCTGGTTCAACAGCGATTCCATTCTGGACCATATAGAGTTGCCTCATAATAACTTACTATCCCGAATGAGCAATTTTCGCTAATATTTCATGTCCCCCCTCCCCAGCTATGCGCAAGAGGTGTGCTTCAATGGCGCATGAACCCAGTTTTGAAAAAAATCTTGCAAATCAGCGCTCACTGCGCCCCCCCCCCCCAAATACCTGTTCATTGCTTTATTTCATCTTGCAACTTCCAATATAATTGATACACGCTCTAAAGTAGGAAGTATTGAATGACTCTGTGAAAAAGAAATTTAATTCGTCTGATGTGTTTTTGATGTCTACTTGTTTTTAACAATTTTTCTTCGACATGTTCTCGGTTGTCCTTTCGAATGATGCTGCACTACATAAAGAACGGAAGGATCCACATCAGTGACAGCTGTCAGAAATTAATTCGGAAGAAAGGCTTCGTTACTGAACTTCGAGGGAAGATAGAAGTCAAGGTAGGTTGTCTTTTTTTGTCTGCCACTTACCTGTTTGTGCGCGCCTTAGTCGCACAGCGCACTTAATATGGCAGTGGGCCCCTTATTTGCGAAAAGAAAAAATGTTTTACACTATAATCACTCGTAATGAGATGATAATAAGCGGTGCTTTAGGGTACAAGAACCAAAAGTGGCAAATCATCGCCAATTATTATTAGAAGTAAATTTACATGGTCTCGTGATGTGCACATGTGATTAGTTAAAGCGACCAGCTAATAAAAAAAGTTTAGAAACTACGTTTAGAAAGCTTGGGGAATACAGCTTCCGGTCTCCGTACTGTAATTAATACCTTTTCTAATAAAACAGTTTGTAAAAGAGAGTTTCGTCCAAACTTGATGCTAGAATCACGATGCCGTAAAGTCGGCGAAGGCGGTTATCTTACACCACGTATTACTTGTAGGAACTACATTCACTTAAGTTCGGCCTTGGTCTATCTCATGTGCAATTAATAAGAAGTAACTTGGTGTTTTGACTTTAACGAGAAGCTGTTATTGTCGCTACGTCAAAGGGCTTGACAAAGATTATCTGAAGTTTCATTACAATGCAGATATACTTAGACGATAAGCGTATGAGACCTATGGTAGCAGTGAGCATTGCTCCTCACCATGATTTTACAAGACAACGAGAATAAAAATCTCTTTGGGTTGCGTTAAAAAATAAGGATCTACTTGTTGGGCCTCCGTAAAAACTTCCACAAGGTGGATTTGAAATATAAGAAGGTTCACGCTGAAGGCCATAGCTCACCAGTGAACAGCTAGCATCTTTTTGAGGCCATCATAGCAAATCAACCCTGTCTGATAGCAGCGTTAATGACATGACTTGATCCTTCACTTGCTTAGGCTATCTCTGAATTGTTTTGTGCTGACTAGCACAGTTATGAGCAGTATGGTTGGCTTTCTAATATACTATAGAGCCGGTGTTTCTACAGAGAAGTCAAGATACTGAGATACATTGTTTTGTTCGAGAAGCCTATAGAAGTTTGCATAAGTTCGCTTGTCATTTTTCTCATTCCTGTCAATATGCTTCAGGTTGCATTCACATAGATTTTTATTCCTAAATGCTGTCAATTATTTGAGGAACGGTTTTGCAACTGACGTCGAGTGACAACGCCCTCTGATGCTTTCTCTTTCGAGCAATTGATGCACGTGCTATTGATCACAGAATGCGACGTTATGAAATTAAATAAATTTGCTGATGACAAAGATTTATTCGTATAGTGCATACTGATGTCGCAGAAATGGTTCTTTTAGTTTTCTACTTTGGTGTTACCCTTACATGAAATTATATATATATATATATATATATATATATATATATATATATATATATATATATATATATATAAAGCTGTTGACATAGTCTTGAGTGAAAATAACACTGAAAAAACTGTCACGCAGTAAACTGTAAATAGGTTTGTAGCAGGCCTCTACGACGTCATGTATTTAATGGCTCTTACCAAACTTGAAAGAACAAACTTGCGTGTGCGTATAGATTTTGCAGCAAATGGTTAAATTTGTTGGGCACTTGCTTACTTCAGTTCTGCAGTTGTAACCCGTTACCAGGAGACAACACTTAACGTTACAACACAGCAACCAAATTAATTTATTAATGTTATTATTGACGTTCTGTTCTCAATAGTGTGGTTGAACATGAACGGTTTCCACAAATGTCTATCGCTTTGTAAATTCTACTTCATATGGCTTGAAGTTTTTGTTAAACTAGTGCTGCCTGTGTTTAACAAAAACGTTCAGGGCAGACAGGTGCAGGGATCAAAAGGATGTCAATGGCGTTGTGGTCAAACAACAGTACGGAAGATTTTCAATCTTGATGGTCACTGTATGGTTGGCTATTCTACCTTAGCCGAGGAGAACGAGGGAACGAAAACGCAAGAGGGATAAGGGGAAAAGTGACAAATGGGGTATTTATGAGCAGATAGAAGCCCCTTTTAAATTCCTATTCAAAGGATTGCATTCAGGAATAATAATTATCCATATTTAAAATAGTGTATGGTAGTTACAACTGTTAATTTAACATAAAAGTAAGAATGAGGTATCAGTGTCACAATTTTTTTCCTGGCTCTAGACGACTTCGATTCTTGACACATGTAGGTTGAACTTGTTCCTCAATGTACGCGATAATTCAAGTGAGGCGTTAAAACCTAGGTACTGATATACGAATATTGTGCTATATCAATACACAGATGTGAGCAAGCCTAAAAGCATCTCAATACATCCAAGATACGTATACCATGGCTGATACATGTTTCATCGAGATGTCCTTATTTCTTAAAAAAATAGAGAGCATAGCGACTCTAAACTTTGGCGAAAGGTGATTGGAAATAGTGTTTTTCTCTTTCATACAATAAGGTTTACAGACGAATTTTGCTGTAAGTGTTTTCTTGTTTTTCACTGTATGGAGAATTCATTGTTCCTTGTATTTTGTTGTCGTTTACCAATAGTGCAATCGAATTCGTATGTTACTCAGAATGTTACTCTA